CGCCATGGTGCAGGATCATGGCTACTGGTCTGTAGCCTGCATTGGAGACTTCAATCCCGTCGTTGGAGAAAGGAATGTTGAGGATTGTAGGGATCTCAACCGGCCGATGATGCTTGGTCCATGTGCTTTCCCGACATTGAAACCTCTGGATGTGGAGAATCAAGCAGTTAGGTGCCCCGTACAAATATTGCCCACCTTCTTCATTCGCCCATTGAACGATCAACTCTTCCAAGGTGACTTTGGTTTCCCCCGGTGGACAAATGAGGTTGATCGGGACCTGCTCTCGTTCTTCCAATACTCCATTGGACTTCAAATGGAAGAATTTGCCCCCAATGTTCGGAGGAGCGGCAGTAGTGTAGAGGTGTCCGACAAAGTCTCCAACATCAGCTTGCTGCTGATCATCAAAGTGAGCCCACACATCCGCAAGTTCATGAATTTGTGTGAGGAAGCAGGGCTTGGATGAAGAGAGAAAAGCCCGAAAAGCTCGATGCAGTCTCCCCCACGTTTGGGTGGGTTCAGTGGTGAAGCTGCTCAACCAACTCCAACACCTGAAGGCCGAGTTGGCAAAACAGAGGTTGCCGTCGTTGGCTGCAATGCTGGTGAGGTTCTGCGCTATCAAACCGGAGTTGGCTTGAATGAAGGGGGGCTCCCCTTGCAGACCTTGATGGTGATGCACCAGTCTCTCCATTCTTTGCAAGTCTGCCAGGAGTTGTTGCCCATGGTCCTGTGTTGGCGCCCTGAGGTACTCTAGGCATGAAGCATGGAGATCTTGATGGCCTGTTTGAAGGAGCTGAGAGTGTAGATGAGCAGGCATGCCCATATCACTGTCCATGTCTTGGAGGATGCGGGCCAGCGCGAGGAAACCTGAGGTCCCGATCACAGCACCACCCTTGGGGGCAGGCTCTGACGAAGAGGAGCTCGGTGCCTCTGGTTCCTGCACTAGGCCACTTCCCCCTTTGACCTTGGCGAAGGCTGCTCGCCAGGGTCCATAGGAAGCCGTGGGGGCTCGTGCGATGAAGCTTGAGCCCAAACTGTCATGTTCGGTGAGGTCAAAAGAGTTGTCTGTGCCCCTGCAACTCTGCTGACCAATGCCCCTGACCATGTGAGAACATGGTGTCAACCCCAAAGAGATATTCGAAGCTGGAAACAAATCTCGCTGCAAAGCCTCAAGTGTCAGGTTACCCACATGACTGTGTTTTCTCTGCTTCTGCAAGCTTGCGACGCTTAGCATCATCATCTGTGGGTGCCGTGGGCCTTTTGAGCATCGATTTGAGCTGGTCCTGCTGCTCTTGAGTGAGACTGACACCAAGAGTGCTAATGAAACCAGCTACCGCTTCTGGAACTGGATCCTTCATTTCAGCGTCTTCAACTAGCAGCACGGGGTCCGGCTGTTTGCTGACTAATGTCATGTAGGCCGCGCTGGTGTTGTTGAGCTCTGCCTGTTCTTGTTCGATCTTGGTCTGGATGAGTTTCATCTCATTCAACAGGTCTTGGAAGGCCTTCTTGGTGGCATCGATCTTGGACTGCAAGTGCTGCTTGCGGTGAGACAGATCCCTCAAACTGGAGACCTGGTGTTTAAGCTTGTTGGCCACGTCCTTCTCAGTTGGTGGTTGAGGCTTGGTGATCTTCTCTACCAACTCCTTCACTGGGGCCGGGAGCTGCGCCAGATTGTCTCTGAGCACGTCTTGGAGGTCTGGCTCAGGGGAGGGAGGTGGAGGCGAGATGCCAATCTCAGTGAGCTTCTGTTGGAGGGCCGAGTCGAACTTGTCCCATGAGGAGGCCAACAGCTCTCCGGTGAGCTTCTGAACCTTACTTGGTCGACTGCCGTGCTTCCAAAGGCCCGGCGGCGGTGTGACACTGCGAGAAGTCTTCCACCTGTTGGCTCGGGGAGGTGGAGATCGCGGCGCAAAGCCTTGTGAAGGCTTCTGCCAAGTAGTGCCACATTGCCGGCACACCGTGCCTTCACGGACCCGATCTTGCCAGATCCAGTTATGGCAACCGGAAGCTTGACAGACCTGATAAGCTCTGCACCATCTCTGAGGGGAGGAAGGTGTCATCACCGTCAAGGAAGAAGGTGTGGATCTCAATGCCTTTGATGATCAGGCCTGTGTGCCCTTCAAAGAGGTAGAGTGCCGGTGATCTCAGCCCGGAGTGTGGCACACTCCGCGGCTTGATGCTGAAATGGCTTGAGCCCCCTGGTCTAAATATATATATATATACTGTATCCATATATATATATATATACACACATATGTAAATATATCATATGTACTATACAATATATAACATATAGTGGGTAATTAAAAGAGGGATCATAGCAATCACAATGATACTGTGCCTCCGTGTGACATTCCTCTTGCGCACGGAGCTTTGCAGCGACAGCACTCGCAAGTGTTCAACATGCAACTCCAAAGCAAGAGCCTGAATTGGACCACTTTTGTACCTCAGGTAGCTCTAGTACCACTGCCTGACTGCCTGTACCTTTGGCAGGAGCTTGCACAAGTTGAGCTCGCAATGAACATGTCCCAGTCAGGACTCACCGGGACCCGGGAGCCCGCCATAACATTGCGCACATCCTCCGTGCGGTCCTGCGGGCACTTGCCGTAATAGTAATAGCAAAGGAACCTAATAGCAATGGCCTCCAACCTACTTGCGATGGCCTCCAACCTACTACAGTATCTAAATAAATTTAAATGAGCCCTATTTGGATAGCTTGCTATGGAAATGCATCCTGTGACCTCGTTTGAGATCCTTTAAAGACATGACTGAGAGCGCATGTCTACTACGTAGAAGAAAAGAACTTGCTAAGAGTCTTTTTGCTTGCAGTGGTAGTTTTGATCGAAAGGGAGCAGATGTGCACACTGCTTGTGTACCTGGCTTGAGATTTGGAACGGTTGTTGGGCCGACAAGCGCAGAGAGCTATCATGATAAAGCAAATGTGCACTGATGGTGACTCGCTCTAGAGCAAACTTGCCCTGGGAGTCTTTAGAATAAACGAAGGCAGCGCTTTCAGGATATATTTGCTCTAGGCAATCATCCGGCGCTCTCTCTCGTGTGAGGACTTGCATTTACAGAGGGTGGCGAAGGTCGCTTCAGGCACCGGTTGGTCAGTTCCTGGTATATATTCTCAGTTTTGTCGTGTCTCAAGCTGCTGGTCCGAAAATAGAAACGTGAAATGAAGTGTTCTTCATATCTTGACTTGGTCACCGGTCCAAAAGACAGGGCAAGTAAAGCAGATGGTCAGACGGACAACAACTTGCAGGAAAGCAAAGTTGAGTGCAGGGCCTCGAGGGGTCCAGCAAAACGGTTGCAGCAATTGATTGGATTCAAGCACGGCCTTGCGACATTTAAAGCTAGCAATGCCCCGAGTTCTACTGGCTAGATGAGTCGAGTTCTTTGAAGTCTTGTCTAAAGAAGGGGGATGATGCCCCAGGTGCGGCGTGATTTACTGTGCAGATGCCGCTGGAAACAAGTGCTGCAGGGCAACTGGCAGTTCCATTTGCTGTGGTCCAGGAGCGGTTGCTTAGGTTTTTCGAGCGGACTGCTCGGGGTGATGTGCAATCAATGACGCAGTGATTCCAGCTTTAGAAGTAGATTGCGATTTGAGTGAATGAAGATCCATACCTTCAAATCATGCAGGTACTGACAGAAGAATCATGTAGCAAGTGCTTCAGCTTGCTTCAGGGCTGGACAATGCTTTATGCTTTGTTACTACATGTTGCTACCATGTCTTTCGATATGTGGTCGCCAACTTTCAGGATTGGGTTTTATATGTGCATGTTGCTTTGAAATAAAGACAAGGGCACGCCCCGCGCCTGCTTTTCGCAGCTTCAGTTTGTTGACTCATGAGCTATATCGTTAATGAGTTGTTCAAGATAAAATGCTCAAATCAATTTGTTTTTGTGGATCCAGGAGAACAGCCAAGGGCCAAGTTGAACAGATGATTTTCGTTATTAGTTATGAGGAAGGGGTGGTACAAAAGGATCAATTTTAGGGGTGGTGCAAAGTCATGCAACATCCACCTTTGGTCGCTCCACTGGTTTGATCTCCATCCGGTTCCCGGCCATCTCCAGCTGACCACACGGAGTTTAGTCTAGAATCCATGTTGGATTGATCAGAAATCTGCATATTTAAATGTATAGCACGTGATAGCATGCATGTGAAGGTGAGGGTGACAGACGACTACTCTGAGGTTGGCTGCTCGTTTTGTTTGCGGGTACTAGGTCACCATGAGTTCGTTGTTTCTTCTTCCTGTTATATGACAGCACCCAACAGGTGTGCTGCTTTCACTGGAGTGCAGGAGCCCGCTGCGGCAACTCTGGTGGCCTCTCTTTGTGCCTGTGAGATTGGGAGCTCTACTGACCGGGGGAGCTCCAGCTACCCAGCAGACCCGTCAGCCCCTTTGTACAGCAGATCGTTGTCTTCAGGCACCAGCGCAGAGCCAGAAAAGGACACCATGGTGGCTACATGTAACTATACTGGGGATTGAGTTTAAGTGGCTAACAGCAACTAACAGCAACTATATGATTCGGGGTTTGCTCATTGGCTTGATCAGCACCGCTGTTCTTTTTGGTGGGGAAAGCATCAACTAACATGTGGTTCATTGTGGTTCCCTTTCATGACCAGATGTCGCTGAAGCCTGTCCAAGGTGTCGACAGTTGGGCACAGGTGTGACAAGTCAAGAGGAGGCACTGAAAGACGCAATCTCCCTTTGCTATTCCTTGCAGGGCAATGTGTAAAGGATCACTACAAGCAGCACAGCGCGCATGTCGACACAAACCTTGGCAAAAGATGTTTTCACGCCCTGTGTTTTCCTTATTGCAATGTATAAAGCCAAACGAGGGTTGTTGGATAGTAGAGGCATGTAGAGGCAAAGTCGATTGCTTGTGCATTGGAATTATAAAGAGTCTTGACGTTTGATTCATCAAGCCTCTCCTGTGTTGCACGTTGAAGAAGAAGTATCCTCCGCCCTTTGCTTCCCTTTTCCGGTCGGCCAGGCCATGCGAGCCTTGATGAAGTCCTGGGACCCGCAGTCTGAGACGTGGAAGCCTTATGGGAAAAAGATGAAAAAGAGAACCAAAAAAGGACTTCGCAATGTTTGAATCAGGCGAAAGTTCACAAACAGGTCGGGTGATGCACGAAAGAGTCAAACAAAGGCTCAAATAACCAGAGTAGCAATACTTGTTTTGCTCCGTTCCGGCAGTCAGAGCAAAGCTTTCTCGAGCGTTTTGCTGGATGTGTTTGATGTGACCGCGTGGAGTCAACGTCATGGACCCGCCATAAAGCCCCAATGTGATGGTTTTCACAATGAACTTGTGTTTGCCAAGGCCAGACTTTTGGAAATCTCAAGAGGGCAAGGCAATGTGCACCATGGTTGTTGATGCCACGATCAAATAACGAACAACCAAAGACCAAGATGTGTTTAAGGAAATGGGAGCATGAGAGGGGAAGCACTTGCGCAGGCAACAGGATGTAGAGTGGGAAAGGTAAGCATTCTATAGATTCTTCCAGAGATAGGTTTTGACTGTCGGGAAACATTCAAAAAAATTCAATAGTGTTTCTGAGAATCCTCGACTTTCTATGACTATTGCGCAGAGACAGGAAGCAATTGGCCCCAAACCAAGTGCAGCGTGCGGTGCTCGGGAAAGACGCTTAGCTTGCGAGAGGCAAATGAAGAACCTAAGAAATGGATTGAATAGACATATATATATATATGCCTATACTGTGTATATATATATGTATATTGGCTCAAGCCATTTAAGAAAGTGCTCGCTCCCAGATTGCCACCCTCATCTCCAATGTCCTTTGGCATGACAGTCTCTGAGACCGAGGTTCGGCAAGCGCAGACAACTTGGGCCAACGCCATCAAGAACATCTCCAAGATCTATCTTGATGGGGGCGACTATGTTGCAGCTGCAGGCAAAGCTGCAGGTGAGCTCTACAGTTATGGTCACACAGAGGTGCTCTTTAAGCCAACCAAGGCGAAGGACTGTCAATTCCGCCCCACGGCATCCCAGGCCATGTCCTACTTTGTAGGCTGCAGGGCAGTGGAACACGGTATCACAGAAGATGCCGGCTTCGCCATCAATGGAGGCAAGGGC